GAGTTGTGTCTCAATGTTGAACATGTCAACTAGCTAAAGCCAAATAGAGGAACACAAGATTATACACACTTTACCTATACCCCACACTCCTTGGAAAGACATTAGCATGGATTTTGTTCTTGGGTTGCCTAAAACAACTAGAGGACATGATTCCATCCTTACGGTCATGGATAGATTTTCTAAAATGGCCCATTTTCTCCCTTACCATAAAACTGGTGATGCCTAAAAGGTGGCCAAACTGTTTTTCAGGGAAATTGTTAAGATCCATGGTTTACCTACATCAATTGTGTTAGATAGGGATGTTAAGTTTGTTAGTTGTTTTTGAAAAACATTGTGGAAACTCTTGGGTACCAAGTTGAATTTCTCAATTACTTTTCACCCACAAACTGATGGTCAAATTGAGGTTGTTAACCAAAGTTTAGGAGATTTACTTAGATGTTTAGTTGGTGAGCATTTAGGTAGTTGGGACTTGATATTGCCCATTGCAGAATTTGCTTATAATAAATTCAATTAATTGATCAATCAACAAAGAACCTTTTGAGATTGTCTATGGCTTTACTCCTCCTAAACCTGTTACCTTGTTCCCTTGCCTCTTAATGCCCATACTTCTGCTTTTGCTGATTCTTTTGCCCTATATCCATGACTTGCATGCCAGTATAAGACAAAAAATTGCTTTAAGTAATAAAAACTATAGACTTGCTACAAATGCACATCATAGAAATCAAGAATTTAATGAAGGAGATTATGTCATGGTTTCATGTGCATCCCAAGCGTTATCCAAAACACTCCTTTAAAAAGTTATATCCCCAAGCCAATGGCCCATTTCACATCATCCGAAAATAGATAAGACCTAATGCATATGAACTTGATTTACCTTTGGACATGGGAATTATCTCAACTTTCAATGTGGAGGATTTGTTTCCTTATTGAGACACCTTTGAACCTCCTACTCTACTTGTAGGTGTGCCCATATCTAGCACTGCTTTACCTTCATTACCTATACCCATTCTGCCTCGAGTTCAGTCTTCACATACTAAAAAAATTGAGTGTACTACCCAAGATGCAATTGTTATTTCTAGGCTAGGCGGTTTCAGCATTATCTTGTGAAATGGAAAGGTTGCCCTGACACCAATACTACTTGGATTTTAGAAGAGAAAATTCGTCACCTAAACCTAGATCTATTGGAGCAATATCATTCTTTTACCTCTCCTAAGGAGAGTTCTTTTCAGCCGAGGAGAATTGATGGAGATCACTTTGAGACTAAAGCACCAAATAGTAGGGATGGCAATTTACCCCATAAAATCAGGGCCCCGCCCCGCCCCGCCTTGTCCCGAATGGGGCGGGGATGGGGAAAATAAATTTTCCCCGAACTGGGTATGGTGTGGGGACGGGTTTTGTATATAATTCCCCGAACCCAAAGGTAAATTAGTAAAATATCTCTAGGTTTAATATTGATATTTAAAATATCTCTTAGTTTCTCCTAAATTCTTAAAATATTAGGATTCCATAATTTTATTTTTGAATTATCCCTAAAGTATTATTATAATTCAATTCTAAAATACCCCAAATTCCTATATCCTATGTATAAATTGTCCATAAAATAGATAATTTTTAAGTAATTGCCTTGGAGCGGGAAAAATTCGAGGATTCCTTGTCCCTGATGGGGAATGGATGCCCCGCCCCGCCACCGGGGATGGGGCAAGTACGGTGCAAGGTATCTTGACTTCGGGGCGGGGACAGGGAGGGGGTGGCCTGCCCCAAACCCGCCCCGTGGCCATTCTTGCCAAATAGAATTCATACTTATTTTAGGTGTAGATGGTATTAATTTAGAGTTTACTTTGATTAATGCAAAATTTGGCTTTAATTATAAAATGTCTTCTTAATAGGGGTTATTTGTAATTTTCATATTTAGTAGGGATATAAGTTAGTTTTCATTGTTAGTGTAGGGATTTAGGTGTAATTTTCAGTTTTAGTAGGAATTTAATTGTAATTTTCAGTTTCTAGGTTTCTCACATTGAAGAATAAATTTTTAAACTCTCTTCTTCGAGCTGTTTCTCCCTCTCTTCTTCTTTCCCCAGTTTATTCCTTAAATCACCCTCACAAGGCCTAGAAAGGGGGGGGGGGGGGGGAAGCCATAGTGTTTGGCATAGTTTAGATAGAGCCTATGCAGAATACAGTATTTACAACATAACATTAAAAACAAACTATCTACAGTACATACATATTTGTGGTATTGCAACTGTGAGATTCAACTCTATCTCCAAGTTATTGTACTATGCAAAACCAATGTTGTAAGATGCAGCTCCAACTCTAAGTTATTGTACTCTGCAAAGCCAACGTTATGATGTTGTACGCAGGATTTAAAAACAAATAAAGGAAAAGAGAAGTCTGTGAAAAGGCAAAGAAAACAAAAAGTTTATGGAATACTCTATGATTAAGCTCAAAATATCAACTTCTTCAAGACTGTTTTTAACTTGTGCTTGACCTAACCTGTTAAACTGGTTGCCAAGTTTCCGGGTTTATTTAGCCCCGAACCATTTGACCTGGTCAGTGGATAACAGGTCATACATTAATTCACTTTTCTTTTTACTTTTTATTTCTCCCATGTTCCGCCACCCCCGCTGCAACTCCAACCATCGGTGGTAGGAGCATACGAGTATCAACATACCTGAGTACTTGCATCAAAACGACAGATGACGATCGGATCTCAGATCTCAAATTTCGGTTCCTTGCAGATCTGAGTTCCTTATGGGATCTAGGCTTATCGAATCTAAGAGATACTCAGATCTAGGTTCCTTCTGGGGTCTAGGCTTGCTGAGGGAATAGAGGAGATGTATGAGTTGCCAAGAGTAGCTAGGCTTACGATGCACGGTGGAGGCGCCACATTTTCCCCATGCCAGAACCAACAGAGAAATGGTGAGCGGTTTACTTGTGGGTTCAGATGCGACCGCATAGTCGCCAACATCAGCCGAATCACCGAGATCAGCCTCGACTGAGCTGGGTACATTGGTTCCCTCTCTTCCTCCGCCTAAAACCTCCCTTGTTGGAAATCCCTGTGGGTTTCGTTGTTCTCCCCTACATCCAAAACCTTTAGTCTCGTGTCTCATCTTGATGTTGTCAAGAGGCATTGTGATCAACATTGAGACATGGCTTTCCATTGATGCACTCACCCCTGAACTGCCACCACTGTCTCCGTATCCGATCAGAAGATGCCACCGTTGCTGCTCTTCCACATCATGCCGTATACCAACATGCCAGTGAAGTATGTGCAGATGGCGGTGAGACAAGCGGCGGTGACTGAAATGGGCTAGGGTCATTTCAGCATGGTGAGCCAAAGGGGAGAGAGAACAAAGGGGCCGGAGGTGGAGGGGGCAATCGCCGCCGCTGGTTAAGGACCAGCTCGAAAATCATTCGTCACATGTGAACGAGTTTTAGATGTTAACAATAAGGGTAGAGTCAATTGACTAAACCATTAAGGTAGTTTAAGAAATTTATCCTTATTTATATAAAAAACAACTCATTCAAATGCTTGGAGGTACTGCAAAAATGCCTGCTTGGGTTTAGGCTCCATGATCATGGCTGGCCGATTTTGGCCATAAAACATCTTAAATATAACCAATAAATTGATCACCTTTGATTGATAAGCATATATTCTGATTTTATTTGCATAAGCCAGAATTGGGATTTTTGGATCGTACTCCACCTCAGAACTCTGATTTGAACTACAGTCCTATAACAATTCAAATTTATAAACAGCTCCACCTATAACACCCATACTTACCCATGAATTGGCATCAATTCCGAGCTGACACCTAGCCTGAAATGTATGATGAAACTAAGATTTCTGGGGTGAACTGAACGGTAAAAACCCCTAATACAATTGTTAGAGTGGTACAAGACCTATGGTGGTAATAGCATCCCACAACAATATGTTTTATGATTTCAGCAATGGCTATGGCACTAATAACATTCCACAACATGTTTTAAGATTTCAGCAATGGTTCAAATATCAACCAGTATTTTCAAACAATTGTTGACCTAAATGGTCAGACCATTCAGTCTGAGAACCTTTCATGCAACCAATTCTGTTTCACCCCTAACCTCTTCTTTGGCAAAAAATCATTGACTTGATCACTGACCAACATGTTTTAAGATTTCAACAATGGTTCAAAGTATCAACCAGTATTTTAAAACAATTGTTGACCTAAATGGTCAGATCATTCAGTTTGAGAACCTTCCATGCAACCAGTTCTGTTTCACCCCTAACCTCTTCTTTGGCCAAAAATCATTGACTTGGTCACTGACCCGCAGAACCAGGTAGTCAAACCATCAATCTATTCAATCTGAACAACAGTTTTGGGATGTCTTTTATTTAAAATATTTTTTTAATTTTTTATTCTTTTTTTTCATTTGGAACAGACCATCCATTCAAACCAGATTAATATCAAAAACCAGTGGCCAAAGCAATTCTAATTCCAGGTTAGTTTTTAAAACATTGGTATCAACACGCTCTATAGACTGGTTTTTTTCACGAGTCAAATGTGTCAAAGGTTCAACAACTGAGAATGTTTCGGGTATCAACTATTTGCAAAACAAAACAGATATATGATAGGTATCAAGGGTCCATTAAGTTTATAGTCAATCAGAACCGGAATTCGAATCATAATCTGAATTGGAATCAAAATCGAAATGATCTATTCCTATAATTTGCTTAGCTCATACAGAAATCAGAAAGGGAATTAAAATCAGCAGGATGAAATTTCACTCATTCCCTAGGAGGAACGGAGAAATGCCATTCCACTAAGAATAGAAATGGGATTATGATTCCAGCCGACCAAACAGTTAGAATCGGAATGAGTGGCTCGTTATGCTTCTGATTCCAAACCCCTATTCCCGCAAGCCAAACGGGCCCTAACTCATGAAAATGTGCATTTATATTTCATTTAGTGTATCGGGAATCTCAAATCAAGATACTTTGATCCATGGTTTTCACGAAAATATATTTTTAAACTAAAATTCATTTTCTTGGTCAAATTGGTTTTAGATAACAGGGCATCTAACTGTAAACTATGAAGATCACAAATTAGGAAGCCATGAAAGTTTAAGATAGGGTTTTTAAGAGAGAAAGGAAAAATTCAATAGCAAACAGATATACAAATTTTGGTGTGGTTTTAAATCATCGAGGACTCAATTCAAAGGGAAAGGCTCTTTAGAAGTTGAAACTATTCAAATCTACCATTTCTGTGTAAATTTAGACAGTCCCACGACCATGTTTCTTGTTAAGTAGTTTTCATCCACCACCTCAATGCACCAAACAGGCCCACCTGTATATATAACATCATAACGAGGAATAAGATTAATCCAGACAAAAAAAAAAAATGGTTACAGCACATTGAATCCAAGAAACAATATATTGCAGCAAGAATCCAAATAAACAAGTAATGAACAACAGCTAACATAGAACATAGTAATATAGTATAAAATATATGATAAGTTGTCTCTGCCTTCCCATTTTCCTACCATAATAAGAAGGCACCGAACATGTATGCAAAAAGATAATATAAGAGCACAAACCAGAAAATGCCTTGTGGCCTAGGTGACTAACAGCAAAACAAATGAGGCTCTAGTTTTAGATCCAACACAGGATTCAATATAGTCTAATGTACTTTTAGGGTTTACTGTTATAAAAAATGCATTTATTATTAAGGTTATGCCTTCTGCCAGAGATAAAAGAGGCTGGTTGACTTAAATACCATTTGGCAAAGCTTTGCGGAAAATCTTCAAACAATCCCATATTTTGAGAAACTGGGGAACTGTGATAAAACTTTCTTTGGCAAACACAGACTGGTCTTATTTTTCACAAAAGACCATTCTTTGGCAAACACAGACTGCACATCTCAGTGGTCAAGGGCTCTTCTCTCTCATTCTCTGCCCTTTGTTTGATATATAGGAAGCTTATTTATCAAAGATCATGAAAGCTTGGAATCATTCTTCCAAAATGGATCTTTCAACAGTTTTAGGGTCAAAAAAAGGTTCAAAACAACGACATGATAGGCCCCATATAGGACATATCATATCATATCTTTGGCTCACCGAAACACCAAAGACGGGGAATCAGGACATCTGACCACTTTTAAAGGTTAATACCCTTCCTGGAGATGTCCCGATTCAATTCTTGAACCCTAATTACTTTCTGATTCAAGTATATTGTTCATTTGAAACATCCAATACTATTTGTTTTTTATCAATATCAATTTTATTAAACTGAGAAGAATGTGGTAATTACAGACTGTTAAAACAGATTAAGTTCATGAGAGATAAAAACTCTTATCTCTCCCCACAAAACCCCAATCCCTTACAATAGTGCCCAAAACAATGAATCTCTCTCCACCCCTTGCTTAGCTAACGACTCTGCTATGGCATTTGTACTCTGCTTGACCCACCCTGTCCTTACTTCCATGTCTCTAGTTAACCATCTGAATTTCTTCCTTTCATTATTGTACTTCCACATCCTCGTTCCAATACTAAAATTTTTGCATATTGAGCATATCGATACTTAGAACCATGGGGCCAAAAACCCAAAGATATGTGGAAGATCTCTTTTCAAACACAGAAAGACATATCTTAGTCTTCCGCAGACCAAATATCTTCAGCTACAAACTTATCAAACACACCCTTGACAAATCAAAAAATCAAAATTATGTTGTAATGCAATGGTTGCTAGGCAATAAAACAATAATAATCAATGGATAGAAAACAGAATATGAGAATATATCTTAACAGATTTAAGAATAAATGAAGGAACTATTCTATTAATTTGATGGAACAAACTCACATCTGATCTTGTCACAAAATTTACGCAAGAGCAGCATCAGGATGCAAAAGATACATTCAGTTAAGTCATTCCATCCTATAAAATAAAGAGCTTACAGTGTATAGCTTATTCATTTCCAATTAGGACTGAACCCCACCCCCAGCTTCATTAACTACACCTTCATTTTATGCTTACAAAGAAATTTGACTCAAAATAGAGAAACTTAAACAACATGGAAACACAACTTTATGTATATGCACAATAAAATGAAAAGAATAGAGAAAAAACATAATTTTAAAATAACGAGAATAAGCCCTAGCTATAACAACACACCATGCCACTGAAGGCAACTCACTTGTGGAAAGATGGAAGTGCCTGAGGAGCACCACAAGAACCAAGATAAAGACTGCAGAAATATTAATAGCAGTTACTACGCTAAACAGCTAGAGTGAACATTCATACTGCCATCTTCCACTCAAAGCAAAATAACTGCTCAGTAATCAGAGAAATCCAGATCTGATGTCCAAAATATCCCTCAGAATGCCTATTATCAACCTGGCATGAAATCACGGTTCCTCAACCTCCACAATAAACTTGCAGAGGGAGCACCAATCTTTCAAATTTCATACAAAGTTTCAGATTACTAAATATTTCCTCATTGGGAATGTGCAAGTACAGTAAAATAAGATGATATTGCCCAAGGCCAATACACATGTTCAGCAACCAACAAATATTTGAGATTTAACATCCACAAAATCCCTCAGAGTGCCTACTATCAACCTGGCATGAAATCATGGTTCCTCAACCTCTGCAATAAGCTTGCAATGGGAGCACCAGTCCTTAAAAATTTCATGCAAAGTTCAGATTACTAAATATTGCATCACCGGGATGTGAGGAAGTATGATAATATAGAAAATATGGAAACTATGAATATAGACCCTTGTCCAGTCAAATAGCAAGCTTACTTACATGACCTATGCAAGTTAGGTTAGAGCTAAAAAGGGAGTTCTCGTATTCCTCATACTAAATTCATGTAAAAATTTGAGATCAAATGACATGAAAGCATGTCCTAGATAAGTTCTTTAAGAGAAATTTTTTGATTAATAAGTAGAGAGATATCATTAATTGAACAAAACTCCAACCCAGGGTTGATGTAAACTACAGGATCCATCACAGCCAATCTGATGAATGCTCAAGATTGACATAGAGTAGGTCATGTAGACAAGCTCTCTATATCTCTAATATATTAACTTATAGCACAAAATTAATGATAAAGAGTGGAACAAAATGGAACTCAGTTGCTTTGCTTGCTTACTAAAGCTCCAAGAATCCCTCTTTTGCTAATGTTCATTCATTCTTGATACAAACATTTTTTTAAAAGATAATGAACCATAATTAAAATTATTGGATTCATTAGCATAAAAAATCTCTTGCATGGGTGGCATGTTCAGAATGTGAGTAAGAGAGTTAGAGAAATTTTGGCCGTTGTCCCTTTGGCTTCTTTTTGGTCTATATGGCTTAAAAAATCTTGGATTTATTAGCATAAAAAGAGTATTGTAGAGGTTGTAATTAATAGTTCTTTTGGGTTGATCAGGGACTGGGTCTATGATAGCAGAATATCTTGTGCTTAGCCACACCTTTTTGGCCATTTTTAAATTATATATATATACACACATAGAGAGAGAGAGAGAGAGACTTGTTTCAAGGGGCTTGGTACAAAGATGGCTCATAAAATTAGGAATGAAAGATATTTAACATGGCATTAGCTATTTGAAATAATGTGATTGGGAAGGAAATAAAGAGATTGAAAGTTTGACATTCTTGAATATGTTTTATAAGTTATTTTTTCATTTTCACTTTAAATATGTTTTATATGTTAATTTGAGCTAATAGGCTTTTTAAAATATTTAGTTCAAAATTAATGTTTACATATTTTTAATTAATAGTATTGTTTATATTTTATTGATTTATTTTGAATTATTTGGCATGTTATTGCACTTTTTTATTTTTTTTTCAGAAAGGCATGCAGTTGCCTTGCGCCTGGTGCTTCAGGTGCAAAAAGCCCTTTGTAATTTTATTGGCACCTTGTGCTTTTAAAACATTGGCAATGCCTATGCAACCAAGCACCTAAGGGTTTCCCTTTTGAAAAACAGAAATTCATTAAAAGACAAAAAGAATACAAAAAGGTGATAAGAAATCACCTGAAAGATAACAAGACAACTAACTTACAACCAACAACACAAGACTAAAGACACAACAAAACGAAGAACCAAAAGCACCAATTTCGGACACCTCCACCTGCCTCCATGAGCTTCGAGAACACATAGGGCCCAGGCAACCAACTCTTAATCCTCCCATTCAAACACTTCCTCATCTCTGTCAATGTTCTCATCCCACATCTCTCCTCCCTCCCCACTTGCCACTTTCTTCCCTCCTCTCAAACTCCTCAAAGGCTTTACTAGCAAACTCCTCCCCTCCCCAAAAAAAAAAAAAACAAGCCAACACTTTTGCCAACCTTGACATTTTTCTCAACAATCTACTCTATAGAAAGCTTTCCAAATTTCTCAATCATTCAGACTTCTATCAGGATCTCTCGCTTCAGAACTAGAAACAATTCCATTTTCTTTTTCATGCTGACATGAACCTATCTAAGAGACCGAACTGTTATTAACTTGAAAGTCCACCTCTCCAACATCTACAAATGTTAGCACTGTTGTCTCCCCCCTCCCCTCCCCTCTTTTTTTTGATAATTGAAATGATTTTATAAAACAGCAATAGAAAATAGTACAAAGTCCTCAAGGAAAGGTACGAGTTGCAACCTCTCCGGGCTAGTTAAGTACAGATTTCCAAATTAATAACAACTTGCATAGAAACACAAAAAATATCTTCCCTAGAAACTCCCTGTTTGGCTAAAGCATCAGCCAAAGAATTAGCAGACCTACTAACCCATTTTACCTCAACTCTCATATTACTGGTTTAACCACTTTACTTTTTTGATGAGATCTTTGTAGCCTCAAATGGTGGTATCCAAGTTTAGGAGCCACCTGGTTACCACCTGAGAGTCCCCTTCAACTAGGAGATGCTCCACCCCAAGCTGGTTGGCAATCTGAA